GTATTAGTCATTCTTTTACTGCAATTTTTCATCGAAACTCTTTCGAGACTATCTGAGTTAACCATGTCCGAAGACAGATAATGTAAATTCCAGCCTGACTCTTGATGTATTAGTCCATCTGCATATATGCTACTTACTGGATCTGAAAAGAAAACGGATTAAGATTAGTTATCAGTGACAAGGTAAACTTTAATATCAGCACAACAGTAACTTGAATCATACTTCAGAGTATACTTATCAAAGTAACCACCCTCACTATGCTGGATAGTACGACGCTCCTTTTTATACATAGTTCACGCGCATTTTTTCAGTGACTTCAAAAAGGAGGACGCTCTCAATTCCTCATTATATATATTTTATATTGTTGCTCGCGCACATATTCGAGATGCATGGACCGAATCTGATGTTTTTTAATCAGTTTTTTGGCAAGATTGTCCCCTATTTATTTGATGAGGATCTGATTAGTACTTTCTGAGAAAACAATGCATGCTCACGCATATCCGAGATACATGGACCGATTCTGATGCTTTTTTAATCAGTTTTTTGGCAAGATTGTCCCCTATTTATTTGATGAGGATCTGATTAGTACTTTCTGAGAAAACAATGCATGCTCACGCATATCCGAGATACATGGACCGATTCTGATGCTTTTTTAATCAGTTTTTTGGCAAGATTGTCCCCTATTAATTTGATGAGGATCTGATTAGTACTTTCCAATCCTCTATTTACAACTACTGTACTGTACTATTGGAGTACCAGATAGGTTTTGAATGCCACTACTTTCAGTATTACTCGTTGTGCCCGTTCAAGTAACATGAAATTGGTCTTTCCCGAGGACCCCGCAGACTTCCAATTTGTGTAATAGTATAGGGACCGAGACGGTGACAAAAGCCTGCTCATTCATGTTCAATCAATCAATCAAAATCATTTATTCAGTTTAGGCTGTTACAAGCACATATGAATGTCTAGAAGCTACGCCATCGGTTCGTAAATCTACGGCGGGAGACCTTGTACTGAGAAGAACCGGCAAGAAACTCAGCAAGGGCTGTTTTTTTCTCCCTGTTTTATCATTTACAGAGTCGTCAAGTTGAAAAATGACTTCAGAGATGATTCATGAAGTCACCCTTCATTACATAATGTGAAATTATACATTAATTGTTCACCTGCATTTTGATTGCTGTGTCACACAGTATAAATACAAACAGAGTTATTTATAATAGGTGTAATTAAACATTTAAATCTTAAATATCAAAGTAGTTAGGGCAGACTCATCTCCGCTGGCAGCACCCGTTCACAAGCATGACGCATGAACCAGCCATCGCTTCGCTCAACCATATTTTAGGGAACGTAACGACCCGCCTCACACGACACCATGTTAGTGACCATGAAAGTTTAGAACGATGATAGTCCAAGATTTTTAGATGTCCGCTCTGCATTAAATCCTTCTACGTTATTTTTCGATTGGATTATGTCGGAGGGTGCCCCCCAAGTATAAAACCGAGTTTCTGTCGCCCGAAACTGCGAGCGTTAGCCGCCATCTTGGAAACCGTTTTTTTGCATATATCTCGGAAACGGTAAGTTTTACGTTAAAAACCGAAGAGATCTTTTTTGTAGAGAACAAAATTTCCCATCTTTTTTATACCAAACTTTTCCCCCTATTGTTGATATTTTCCGATATATTGAAGTAAAAAGACCAAATTTTTTGTTTTTGTAAAGTAACTCAATAATTTTTGGAGATACGAAAAAAATGTTTGAATTAAAGTTGGAGAGCATGAAATTTTCTACAAATTTTGTATAAAACTTTTTCTTGCAAAATGATTAGTTGCTGAGTTCTAGCGCAATAAAAGATCATGAAAATCAGCGGTAAGTGGCAATACATTACTCTCGCATGCAAACAAAAAGTATTAGTAAATTCGATGTCTCCGCGTAAAGTATTGTTTTACAGAAGGTAAGTAATTTAAGTCGGAACGCCGTTAAAATGAGTACGTGTTTTATATGTGAGAAATTGATAAGTGATAAAGACGTACAAGTGGTGAAAGAAAAAGGTGTGCAAAGACTGATACAATCATAACTCAACTCCGGCCGCGGACGACAGCGACGAGGAGGATACACCGAATGAATCTCTCATACATTCTTCTGATGCAGGTAACATGGACTTGGAAGAAGAAAATTCGCAAACCTTCCAAAATCGCCCTTCCGGTTGTAAACAGCGAAAAATTTTATAAATCTAACATCGACGAATAAAATTTATCAAATACAATTTATTGAATTAATATTCTGCGATCCTGATTTGTAAACAGCGACTTATATCGCGCAAATGATAATGAATTTGGATACATGAATAAATTTTCATTCCTTTTTCCAATATAAATAAAAAAAATATAATAATTCGTTAAAATATTTTTATTGTGCAAAATTTCCTTTTTAATCTTTCATTTCCCTCCTTTTCACGATAAATAAAATCGTTACCGTCTTCATGATAAAATTTTTCGATTATACTTTTTTGTTTGCATGCCAGAGTAACGTATTACCGCTCATCGCTGATTTTCGATTCCAGGTGACAATTTTTATTCAGCTGGAACTCAGCAACTAATCATTTTACAAGAAAAAGTTTTATACAAAATTTGTAGAAAATTTCATGCTCTCCAACTTTAATTCAAACATTTTTTTCGTAACTCTGAAAATTATTGAGATACTTTACAAAAACAAAAAATTTGGTTTTTTTACTTCAATATATCGGAAAATATCAACAATAAGGGGAAAAGTTTGGTATAAAAAAGATGGGAAATTTTGTTCTCTACAATAAAGATCTCTTCGGTTTTTAACGTAAAACTTACCGTTTCCGAGATATATGCAAAAAAACGATTTCCAAGATGGCGGCTAACGCTCGCGGTTTCGGGCGACAGAAACTCGGTTTTATACTTAGGGGGCACCCTCCGATATAATCCAATCAAAAAATCACGTAGAAGGATTTTATGCAGAGCGGACCGATTTTTGGTGCTAAAATTCCTGGACTAGAAACGAATAATATCACCAAATATAATAATGAAATTAATAAAGAATATAACATAACGTTAGTGCACAGTATATAATTTTTTGTCTATCATAGCTATAAATATATGTATTTTATTTTTTGTTCTTCTAAATACATATTTTTGTTAACTACAAAGGTTTTGGAGCGAAACAGGCCCAACACAAGTATTTTGCAATTACTTACTGGGACCGTTTCATCGTTGTTAATTGTATGTACTTATGTTATTAAAAATATTTTTAATTTTATTTTTTATAGGTTGTTATTTAAATAAATTAAATGCTACATTATTTTGGTCAAGTCATTTATTTTATCTTATCAATACAAATGAATATTGATATGCCATAATGGAAATAATTTTAATATTGTATTATTAAAACAATATAAAGGAATTGTACAAATAAAAAGTTGATCCTTTGAGAAATTAAAAAATTAGTGCTGCATTCTAAAAAAAATGCCATTTTTGATAAGAAACTTTGGTCTGTCATGGGTATGTTCCAAATGCCATCGAGAAATCGTTCCATCGTCGATACTTATAAAGAATCGAGCCTTGCAATTATTGCGGGTTTTGTTGCTACAACGCCACACTTCTGCCTTACTGCTTCTACTATGTCTGAAAAATGTAAAGCCGTCAAGCAGAGCAAGCTTCTTGCCGTCACCTTTGTCAACCCACTTAACTGAAAAAAGAAGGTACTTTAAAACACAAGTTTCACCACAGAACAAACACAAAATATCTCAAAGAATATTACAAACAAAAAAAAACACCGATTTGATTAACATTTGGTCGTTCATGAGAATGCTCCGATTGTAGTCGGCTTATCTTGCCCTCTGCTCGAGAGATCATGAGGCGTGCTTTAAACTTCTTATGTGATTGGATTCTAAACCTCCACACCTTAGTTTTCATAGTTTGTCTGTGCATGCATTCGATCATGCAAAAAATCCAATGACACTCATCATGTCCGAGTAAATGTATGGACAGTGCAACTAAGTAATTTGCATGTGATAAAAGTAAATAAAAACATCCTGTGAACAAGTTTATAATATCAGTGTTTAGGGCTCTTTCAATTTATGCGTTTCTTGACGGCCTGCTGCGGTGCCGAAGCGGTGCGTTTGTCGTACAGCGTACGGACAAAAAAGGATCGTCGATGCCGTCAGGAAACGCATAAATTGAAAGCGCCCTTATAGATAAAAGCTCTAAGTGTCTATAGGAGGAGCATAATCACGAGGTCTCCCGTGAGTATGCTCCTCTTGTCCGCGTCCATGTTCGCTACCTGTGACCATAAGCGTCAGCTTACACCGAAACGCCACGCGACACCAAGCGTAATCTGAATTCAAACCATGAAATGTGTATCTTTTCGCGTAGTAAATAAAGTTGTGTTTTGAATCGCTCTGTGCAGCGTGCAGCGTCGCGTGGCGTTTCGGTGTGAGCTGATGCTACAACGTGACTTGCACCGCCGATTCGTTTGACTGCAGCATCACCATATTTCGTCTTTGCTGCTCTTGCTATGCATTAAGGAAGGAAAGCTATTAAACAACGCGAATTTTAACATTGTTTACCCATTGTACTGCAAAATCAAAACATCTAAAATTTGCACACATAAAAAAAGAATTAAAAACTAATGCGATAATTTTAATTACTCGTTAGCTTAGCCTACCAGTGTAAAAGAATCGATATATACAACAATAAGACATGGTCCAAATAAAATTACTGTGAACATCCTTAATTTTATTGTGCATAAAATTCTTAAAGGATATTACAATCTGATTAAAACGCCGTTCTTAATAACATATCTTGGTCTTTCATGTGAATGCTCCGATTGTAATAGATGTATCTTGCCGTCTACTCGAGATATGACGAAGCGTGCTTTACACTTCTTATGTGATTGGAGTCTACACCTCCACACCTCAGTTTTCTTAGTTTGACTTTTTATGATATAACAGTAGCCGTCAATAATAGCTATCTTCTTACCAGTAACCGTTACAACCCAAGAAACTGAAAATGAAATGATTCATTAATAAGGAATAGGCAATAACTCAGTCGAATCATCCGTAATTATTGTTCATCTTATTATGATGTCATCACTGTATTTCAAACTTCCTATGTAAAGTTATAAATTACTTTCGCAACTATAAAATTTGTGCTAGACTCTAATTTTTTTATTGCGTCGACTTATTAGAACGTGATTGGTCAGTCATCGTAGACTCTCGTGAATTTTATTTACAGACCTTTAAGTAAACGACGCATGAGTTTCAAATTGTATAAAAATGGAGGATAATACTTTGAGTAATTGCGAGAACAAATCAATTGGTGGAAAAGCTTGGGCCCCAGGCACGCCTTTCAATTCTACAGTTTTAAGAGTAATAACGCTTGTCATTGAGAGCGGAAATTTAGAGCTTACTGTCCAGGATCTCACCCAAGGCACGAAATTCATCCCTTGACAAAATCAAACCGTCCAAAATATCAAAAATACTTGAAGATCCTACTTTCTTCATAAAACTTAAATGAAATCATTTTCCTGAATTAAGATTCATTCCATTTTCATGACACGAACTTTCTTGACACTAACGTTACTTACCCATTGTATTGCAAAATCAAAATAAACATTATTTAAAAAGAGTAATAATTGTATGCAGCTGTACGCAGCTTTATATCACCAAGCACTGTGCTCACCGAAAGTTGAAAGTAATCAATCAGAATGGCCAGGGTATATTATTATATTTTTATAAATATGCCGTTGTGAACTACATAACTTGGGGGTTCGTGTGTATGCTCTTGGTGAATATTGATCATTTTGCCATTTTTACGGTCGATGGAGAAGCGAGCTTTGCAAGGATTCGGTCGATGCGTGTGGCTCCTGCAGCGAAAAGATTCGGTCTTCACGCCTTTCATGCAGCTGTAGAAAGTGAACCCGTTGAACAAGGCGATGTTCTTGCCAGCTTTCGTATTAACCCATGTCACTGAAAAATATAAAGTTTTGTCTACGTTCCAATTTATATAGAGGTGGGGGTGGAAGGACAATGAAACAGTCACCACAAGGAGTAACCTTGCGCCATACAGAAGAATTATAAAGTCATAAGTATTCTGTAAGGCGTAAGGTTACGTTTTAAAAAGATACGATAATAGTTTTATGTCGAGATCAAAGCTCTCCAATAATACCTTTACCGATACCTTAATACACTTGATTGGAGTTACAAAGGAGCATTCTGAGAACAATTAATTTTACACCACTTTCGTTTCGGAGATTTATTGTGTTAATCACATAACGGCAGACGTTGGATATATACATAAAATTCACGTAGTTTATGTAGATGCAAGGAAATGTTATAATTTTATATAAAGTTTTATACGATACTCAGACACGAAAATTAACTAAGTAACTATTTATTTATTAAAGTATCTTATTTGTTTTATTGATCATTATTTAACAAAGTACGTTATGTTTGGCAAATCATGGTGTGGTTGGGCGTTTTATTATGTGTGAGTTTTTTACATCAACAATGTTCGCATTTGGGTTTTGGATTTGCAATATGCTCGCTGACGCCACCTTGTGTTCGATCTGCGAACCTGTCCAGATGGCAGATATGTGGGTACTGCGAATATTGTTATGCGCGGGTACGCAAACTTAATAACGGTCGTTGGCTCGTCATTTCCAACGGCCGCTCTCTGCTGTGTCGGATTCGGTGCAGATAGGTCGTACGCATATATAGTGACACGCAGCGTGTAACTATCTCGGAAATCGCGTAGAAGATTCCAACCGCACCCAAAGGAAGAAAGAAAGAGCTGCTTCGGCTGTGCCCACGCTTGCAAGCCCGATAAGGAGGCAGAGAGACATCTAGGTGAGTCGTTGGTGGCATTGCGCCTATTCAACTTCCACTTGTTTCATTGTTTGATGTTTCTTTGTGTCTAAGCAGCTCGTACGTAATAACTCGCCCGCCGCATACATATATTGTCAAACCCGCATCCAGTGGATGGCTGTATAGCCACGCCATACCCATGGTGTTACAATTCAAAATAAGTTAAGTACACTTAGTGATATAAAAAAATACATTTTGTCTCAATGTAATTACTTACATTAAAATGGATAAGAATTTAATTCATAATATATATAAGATTTCAATTTAGAACATATAAAAATTAACAAATCTAAAGTAAAGTTTACTAAAAAAAAAAGATTTAAACATCTAGCAGTTAAATGCTTAAAAATAAATAAAAACATAACTATAAAAATGTAATTCATAAAATGTAAAATAATGAGTTCAAAAAAATCAACATCCATGAAATTAAAAAAAAAAATCAATTTACATAATACATATCAAGACATCAATATTGAAATTGAAATATAAAATAAAAAATACTTCATTTGTTTCAAACCATTTCTTTAAATTAACTATTATCTTTGACTTCTTCTCATTAAGATCTTTTTCATTTGAAGCTTTTACGCCTATATTTAAAATTTATATTCAAAATAGTTTTCCTTGAAATTGTCCCTAGAACAAGCACAGATCAATTTACTGTCGAGTATAGGTAACTATATATTCTATCTAGAGTTCCTCCGTGCTTCGGAAGGCACGTTAAGCCGTTGGTCCCGGCTGCATCTGCAGTCGTTAGCACCCGCCAATCCGCACTGGGTCCGCGTGGTGGGTTCACGGCCCAATCTCCCTATTCCATCCATAGGGAAGGCCTGTGCCCCAGCAGTGAGGACATTATAGGCTGATGGTGATGATGATGATAGGTTATTCAATTTTATTTCAAGCTTCACGTACCCAGGCCTTTCTCACTACAATAAAGACCCGCGTGTAAAGGCTTCCTTTCAACTTTTCTTCAGTCAGTCTTTAGCCTCAAATCTGCAATCCTATGTCTTAATTATCAATTGTAGTAATATTACTATATTGGTAATGTAATCGCCCTATTCTATCCATAGGGACGATCGGTGCCCCAGCAGTGTAGACATTATTAGGATGATGAATGCTAATACAATCTAATGAATTTGCCGTTGCGAATTACATATTGCGGAGGTTTGTGCGTGTGATTCTGGTCAATGTTGCACATTCTGCCATCCATAATGTTGATTGAGAACTGAGCTTTGCACGGATTTTGCCGATTGGTATGTCTACTGCAGCGGAACGATTCGGTCTTCGCGGTTTTCATCCAGCTGTAGTAAGAGAACCCGTTAAACAAGGCCATCGACTTGCCGGAATCCGTAGTCATCCATGTCACTGAATAATACAAAATATTGTAGTCTAATCTAAAAAGAAAATTTTACTAAAGCTGACTTAGTCTTATTAAAGTCGATATAAGGATCGCAGTCGAAAGATTGATCGAATATTTGAAACTTCGTGGCGATTTGATGTGTTTTTAGTAGTAACCTAACCTAACCAGTAATTAACCTAAAATTAATGTATAGCTCTTTATTTCAAGTATTGCACCTTTCTCTAAACTAAACTAAAATTTGACAACAGTGTATCCTTGACATCAGTACAGACACTTGACATTTCTATACAGAATAAAAAGGAGATGCTGATATAAATTATAGTTTTTTGTTTAGAGAATCATGACTGAATCCATTTACGACTTACCGAATCTAAACTTACCGTTTACTCATATTTGCGATTTAATAACCCTTTCATTAGCAAATTCGGTAGAGGCTCATAAATATGGGAGAATAAAGAACATCACATTACAAATGAAATAATATTTGTATCAACTACAAATTTTATGACAATCTAAAAAACACCCGGTCGCGAACAAAATACTTCGGTGGTTGATGTGTGTGCGCTGAGTAAATTTTGTGCATTCTTCCATCTTCGACGTAGATGGAGAAGTGATCTTTGCACTGTTGATTCTGATGGCTGCTACATCTGTTTCGATTCATGCAATTGTACAAGGTATACATACCCATTGAATAATGCAATCATTTTACCGGCACTCGTAGTCATCCATAACACTGAAAAATACATAAGCCAAAGCTGGTCAAAACTGAGGAGGTAGATCAAAATAATGTAATACGAAATAGTAAATCTTTACACATGCACGAGGACGTCGACGCCGAAGAAGGCCAAGACTCACCTACCATGATCAAATTGATCGAATTCTGAAGGTAGGAGATGTCAGGAACCGCAAAAACCGGCGATCATGTAAGAAAAGAGTAATGAATATGAATGAAGCGAAAGCTGTGTACCGGTCGTGTCTTATGGCGCTCTATTCTCTCTGCCTACCCCACCGGGACTCGGCGTGAAGTTGATGGTTGTTACTTACGAAGTTCTTTTTAACAATACATTATTATAAATTTAGTTTTTACTTGAAAAAAATCCACGCGGTCTAGGCTGTAGACAGGACTCGAACCCCGCACCCATCGCTATCGCGCTACCGCGGACATGAAGTCCGTGTCGAGTTCTCTTTAGTATTTCTGTAGCTGCATGGCAGCGCCATCTCTTCGCGTTGTAGGTAACCCACAATGCCAATTCAATAGCTTTACAAGTATTAAACATTTGAAAGAAGAAATAGCAATTATAGTTATATTTTCTTTTTTTAGGCATTTAACTGCTAGATGTATTAATATATAAATATGTGTGTCATTTTACATTTTAATTGAGCTTTTAAAGTAGGCCTTCTGTTTCAAATTTTTGAATATGAAATGTTTTGGAATTTAGAATGAAAAATAATAATGAACTTTAATCTGACCGACTTAAACCTTAAAGTGAATTAAAAATGAGTTAATCTAGTTTCTATACATTCTCCATCTGCACTCAATTGACCTAATCTAATCACCATTGATTTATATTTGCATTATTTGCGACAAAGCAGAATCAGTAGCTAAATCTGCAGTCGTTAACACCCACCAATCCGCACTGGTGATCCATGTCACAATCTCCCTATTTCATCCATAGGGAAGGCCTGTGCCCCAGCAGTGGGGACATTAGTAGGCTGATGATGATGATACATAAAAATATACTTCTTTTACTTTATGCACTGCACACCAATAATAATAAACCACTTTTTGAATAGGTATGAAGCGCGTTTTACTTCATTTTTTTAATTACATTGAATATTTACATAACAGGTATTATATAAAAAATAGTAGATTACAAAAATAAACATTGATTGTTAAGTTTAAGGTAAAATAAAAAAAAGGGTTAAATAATGAAATACACGATAAATAAAACAATAAATTGGTTCACATTTTAAAATCTCAACCACTTGATTCTTGTACACGCGGCAACGCTTGAATGACGTTTAGAGTTCATGTTTTATAGTGTTGAAATATCATATTAAAATAAGTATCGTATTATTACTTTGTGTGTGCTTTTGTTACTTATTGTTGTATTATTACACTATGTTAACAGACATTTTACTTTCGATTAACATCAAACTTTCATAAAACATTAGGTACGTACACCTCATAAGGAGGACGGGTAGGAGAGGACGGCGGCGCGCCCTGGCTGCGCCCGTCCCATGACCCTACCAGGGGGGTCCCTCGCTGACCGGCATGGCGTCAGCTGTGCCGGCCACCGACGCACCCCTTGACGGCAGTCCCCTATGTAGTTCTGTCCTGCAAAGAGGAGGGCGGGGGAGGGAGCTACACAGGCACGCCCAAGTAGACGGGGGGCGGTACGGTGGGCACTAGGCCGCGTACTCAGCCCCCTCGTGATATCCCCGTAGACCCCTGCCGTGGAGCCCCGGCTAGGCCGGGAGGCTGCTAGGTGCGTAGACGCGGAAGAAGCCCTAAACGGGGATCCCGTTTGCGCGTTCCGCGCATGCGCTGTACAGCTTAGTGGAAATTTTGAAAAGCGCGTAGTGTTATTTTCCAATTGCGTGTTTTTACAATAAGAAGGAAAACCAGTTACTTTATAAACCTAATGTTGATCTTTTCCTCACTTAAACTTTAAATTATAAAATACAAATGTTCACAGTATTGTCTGTTACTTTAAATGTATTTACGATAGCACTGGATGCCGTTGTATATTTAACATTGTATAAAAAGGATGTGATGTAATATTCATTATTGACTTATGTATATTATGGCCCAATTACCAATCAATGTAGTCCTTATGAACAGGTAAATAAATATGTCAAATTTTCTTAATTGAAAATAAATCTTAAGTAAGTACATAACAAGATAACTAACTAAAAGTCAATTGTGGACTGAACCGAGTCTAACCGTCTTTAATTAAACAAACTCTAGTAGCTGACCCTATAGAAAATGCCATTACGAATGATGTAATGCGGTTGATCGTGGTTGTGCATGAGATTCATTCTACCGACGCGACCATCAGTGGTTACAAAGAACCTGGCCCTGCAGCTACGGCTTGCATGGCTGCTGCATCTCCAGCCCTCACTGATGCGGCTACTGTTGTGCTTAAAGAAAGAGTAGCCGTTGATGAGAGCTAGCCTCTTGCCGGTATCTGTCATCACCCAATCAACTGAAAACCCAAAATGAACGGAAATAAAAATTTCTGACACTCATACCAATTAATCTAGCCACACTCTAAGGCTTGTGTTATGGATACTAGGGTAATGTATCTTTGTCTAGAAATACAATGAACATCCACGACTTACGAGTAGGTACAAATGAAAAGCGATTAGGTAAAGAAGATCGCGACAGAAACGAAACTGAAAATCTTGAAGAATATGGCTCGTTTGCAAAGATAAATATAAATAAAACACGTCAGAGCTGATTAAAAAGCAAGTATATGAAAACAAATTTTCATTAACATAATTGGAAACTTATAAAGTTCCATGCCATAATAGGATAGGCTCATTAGTGGTGGGGAATTATGATTTAACGATTATGTTTATATAATCAAAATACCCCTTATTATTTGATTATTAATAAAAGCTTTTAAAAACATTATATATTATAAACTCAATATACATAGAGACTTTTAATGTCTTAATATTATAAAAGCCGTAGGTAAATACCACGTATTTTACAAAAAAGTGAAGGAATGCAACGATACTTACAATAGATTCTCTTATATAAAATTACTAAAACATAATATAAAAGAAAACGGGATAAATTCGGGTCTGACCTAGGGTACCATACAATGAACTAAGTATTTATATATGTTGTCTTCGTTTAAAAAAACCATAACCGAATTGGTTGTGGTTTTTTTAAACGAACATAAAATTTTGTCAATGAAGCTATCTTATATCGCTGAAGAATGAAATAGTTCATTTCCGAGCTAGACATCGCAATAAACCGCGGAAGAAAAATTTGATTGTTTTTAGTATTGTTTGTTTGTTTTTTTTTAGTATTTGTTTAAATACAACATATTATGTTACATCATTAATCATGGATTACATGATTTTTAAAAAAGGACTATAAACTTTATACATCTCCTAGATATCATCAACTCAATGTAGTTGTGCCCAGAAGTAAAAATGCCAATCGTACTAGTTAACTTTACATGACGTACAAATTCATATAAATTCAACCTTTATACCCTGTGAATGTCGCGCAATTCTGTTCACTGCAGAAACTTGACAAAAAAAATATGTTATTTGACTGTAGTTTTCTGTGGGTAAATAAATGAAGGGAGACTCCGCTTTGAATATAAACGCTCTGTACCCCAACCTCTCTAAAACAGTTACCTATAAACCCTTCTTAACCAAATAATTTTAGTAAAAATTACAACTTAACATGCATGACGCCGTCGTGAGTCACAAACGAGCGCGGCACATGCGTGTGCTCCAGATATGACCTGACGACTATTCCTTTCTTATTGGCAGTGAAGCGGGCCTTGCAAACCTTGGAACCCACACTACACCTCCATGTCTCGGTTCGAGCACACATCTTGTGCTTGTAGAATGAGTAGCCGCCAATCAGCGCGGTCTTCTTACCGTTGCTCTTTACCACCCAACGCACTGCGAAATGATAAGAAGCATATGAAACACCAATACAAATAAAATTCCTTACTGGATATGAACTAATCGAAATGTAGAAAACGCTACCTGCTAACTTTCTTGCTCTATCTTGTACAGTAGTGATGATAGTACAAGGCGATGATAAAGATTTTACTTTGACAACAATATCTATTCCCGCTTTAGTCCTTGTTAATGTAGTAAAGGCAATAATTTATACACTCTAGTATCTATAACCGACAATTAAAATTTTTTATTTCAAAAGGGACACAGACAATTTCATCTGAGTAATTTAAAACAAAGATTTAATGACACAAATATTGCTTTATTTCTGTACATCGTCATGAACTGTATTATACAATAGTCGCTTAACTAAAAAAATATATTACTAAAACTAATTTGTATTTCAAGGACGATTAGTGTATTAAATGATTACAAATGATAAAAATCATTCAATAAAATTAATAATATAAATGACTAGAATAAGAGCTTATTGACTATTTCATGTCACAAAATAATATTGTACCAACGAAATAGGATCATATTAGAAAAAAATAGATCTTTAATCTATCTTTTTTAACACAAAACAATAAAAGACATTGAAAAGTAACGTCATAATGCGAATTGAAGGCAAGAATGTAGATCGGTATATCCATTTTCAATCATTTATTTAACAGAATGAGTGAATATGCAAAAGTCAACATAAAAAAAACGCGAAATCCAAGAGATCTTGGACATCTTGGTCTAAAAAATCAAAGGTTTTGGAGATCCTTACTTTTTTATAGTCTTACTTAATAGTTATAAAATGTGAATAAAATTAAAGGGGGGAAAGTTTCAGTCTTTGATATAATTGTGGGGTTGGAACAGAATACATTTTGAAATTAATATGAGATATACTAAATGAAAAGAGAACCCCCCTCAATATTAAAATGGTTAAATATGAAAGCGGCACTAATAATCGTATCCACTACAGTTTCTTGGAGGGAAAATAAGATGATAAGGTAAAATTTTAAGATGTTATAACCTGAGAAGAATAAATTAATAAACTCTTGCAAAAAAACAAAATTCATCAAATTTTATTAAAAAAAATCCCGTTTTTTTTTTCACAAAAGAGTGTAGTTTGGAATGTCTTCGTTAAAGCTAATAAAAATATACAAATATTTGACTAATTAATTACAACACAACATTTACTTGCAAATTACAAATTCGTTGCACCAAGCTCGCGTTTGTGATTTCAATTATTTGTCGTAATGTATTATTTTTACATAGTATTATTGAATACTACAGACTCCTAATCCGTACCTTTTTATATTAATTTTCATTTTTATGTTTATTGTTGCTCCGCGATTATTTACTCGCAAGTGTTATCAATTATTTGACGAAACAACCTCTGTTACTTATAAAATAAATTTATAAGTCGATCAACATCTAACCATCATCACATGTTGAAACTCTTGAAGTAATGACTAAACTACATTTTAATAAGTTTCGCAACAACCATATTTTCCTTAATTCAAATCTTGAAATAGACACCGTCTTGGACGACATAGTTGGGCGGCTTGTGATCATGCTCCAGCCGGCCTCTGATGATCCTCCAGTCGGTCTTCGACATGGTGAACCTTGCTCTGCAGTTGGAACCGTTGGTGCATCGCCAAATATCCGTCTTGTGCCCTTGTTTGTTGCAATAGTAAGTGAAACCGTTGACAATGACGGCTACCTTGCCATTCCTGTGCTGAACCCACGTCACTGAAATTGCACACATTTGTTGAAGTCTACCCGCAGTTATGATTATCTTTTGTCATACGCAAAGGTTGCCAGAAAACCTCAATTTTTCTCACAATAAAGCTAAGTAACTTATAGAAATTTGAAACGTTCTGACAACTGTACTTGATGTTACACGTTAACTAATCGACACAGGTGGAATTTATTGCACGATTTTTTTAGCTTATGCATGTCTCATTTTTATCTGCCTTTAGAATTTTGATAACTTACAATGCAAGCCATAAAAGGTTATAAGAAATACAACATCGAATCGCTTGCATTACACTCTGATGCTTTATCCCTTATCAAGGTCGTCGGCAAAGTAAATTCCCCTTCCAAGTTTCAAATACTGTAATGTGGGACTGTACACACACAATAAGCGAATATTAACTTATTCGATTGTACAAAACTATATTTACACCATTATCTTTTGCGAGTGCCGTCAAATAATATAGGATGCAATGGAATTCAAAAGTATTTAGTAGGTATATATACCATTTCTATGTATCGGAAAAACTGATTCTTAAATTATCAGGTCTCTTGTAGCTTGTAGCTGCAGTGCTATTCTGTAAATTTTTCAGGCGCGGATCCGATAAAGTTCTAGAATGAAGATAGAATAGAAGAATCTATATGGAAAATTTTACAGAATAGAACTACTGGAGCTTCACGTGGATGTTCGTATATTCTTAAATTGATAGCAGTCTCTCCTTTTTATTCCCTATCGAAAAAACCTGATAAGGATTTAAAAAAACACACTATTTAATAAAAATGCAATCAAGAGCTCCAGTATATCAAACACATGTTTATTTTAATACTACAATAAATACTTATTCTAATGCATTTTTACGTAACTTCTTCACATCTTCATTGGTCGGAGGGTCATGAGCTAGTGCCAGACCGTTCCGCCATTTTGCTTCCCACTACCCTAAACAACACCTCTGCGGATGTGACGTCAGCAGAAAGCCAACAGCGATGGTACCATTAGTTTTTAAAACTAATAAAAACCATGGCACAATCTCCTATTTTTATTTGTGTGAACTAAACCCTTATCATAATCCCATTGTTTATAACATAGTTTGGTGGACGATGGTTGTGGGGATGATTCGGAGGTGAAAAAAAACCATCTGGCGATATGAAGAAACAAGATTTGCATGTGCCACCTCTTGTGCAACGCCAGTATTGGCTTCTTCTGCCATGTTTCTTCGAGTTACAGTAGAAAGAGTAACCATTCAATAAAGCGATCGGTTTGCCCAGAGGATTTCTAACCCACGTTATTTCTAAAAATAAAGAAAACAATTCATTGAACCCGCATTTTTTAAGTACTAAGGATTTTTTTGCTGCATTATGTTCCAGTCTAAAGTAAATAAGCACAACACCAAACACAAAGCCCTGATCACAAAGATAGTCAGAGCACAATTTTGTGATGGAAATCAGAAATAAGCCATAATAATGTTACGAAAGACGCTTAATTTCGATATATTATACGAAAATGTAGTTTAAGGGGTCGACTTAAAAGTGACTTAAGTCATACTCGACATGTTGACCGTGACGCTGTTTTTCTGCAATGAAATCTAGAGATGATTTACTTTATCACTTCGTCCGCCTAGCGACGAATGGTTTACAGCACTAGCTACAACTGAGCAAATAAAAAACCTTTTTATAGTCATATGAGTTTTAAAAAAATAAAACAAGCCCTTGACTAAAGGCGAACGATTCATTAATTGAGCTCCTGGGTGGCAATTAATTTATTAAAAAAAAATATTTTTCACTACTGAAAATTCCACACGGACCATGCAGCAGACGGGATTCAAACCCGCACCCTTCGCTATCTGGCCCTGACCATTATGCTACCGCGGTCCTGATGGTTGTCGCGAATTTTCTCTTGTACTTCTTAGGTTGCAAGGCACCGCCATCAATTCGCATTGTAGGTACCCACAATGTCAAATGGATACCTTTACAAGTATTAAATATTTGAAAGAAGAAATAGCAAATAAAAGGTATTTTTTTATTTTTTTAGCTAGTACAAAAATCTTACAAACATTGAAAATATTAATCTCAAGCTCATTGCGTCATTTATACCAAAATAATGAGGATCTGATATGGGAATCTAGATTTTTGATAATTCCTGAATAGTCATTGCTTTTCTATATGATTAAAATAAAACGTTTTAACTAAAAATTAACAGTTTTAGACAAGCATATAGAATGGAAAGAGAAAATAGAATAGGCGAATAACTATTTACTTCAACATAATTCCAATTTAAATCACACATTCATCATAATCACGTAAGTATTTAGTTTTTTTTCAACGCATTTGCTAAAAAAATGCATTTACGGATGTTGTATATGTACATTGTTCGAAAGTTCAAAACTATGCACCATACAAAGAGTGTGCGCTAAAATTTTACCACACGCTCCGGTATATTTCACCGTGCGTATACTTTACGGTTATTTTTTAATTTAGATCGAACCTCCTTGGAAGCGCTTTTGATATTCGTTTGGCTCAAATTTAATACTAAAAAAAGAAAAAAAGAAGCGAAAGGTTTAGTTCTAATTTTGGCAATATGGCTTAGTACCTTCGCCTGTCCCAATGGACGAAAAAAACAACTACTACTATTAGTTCTAATTTTCACTACTAGCATGTGGCGCCACGTGGAAATGCGCTATTTTAGTCTTACAAAAAGTTTGCTACATTATTTAAAAATTGCACTGTTTTCTCGCAAATGTGTTAAAAAAACATTGTATGATATTGGTGCAGTGTTGGTATTTATAAACTCGTGACTATGGTATAGTAACATTCGTCTACTCGTTTGTAATAACCAACTTACCGCACTAGTATCATAAATAACAATTACTGTAGGTACTATATTATTCAACAAATTTGCTAAAAAAAAATGCATTTACGGATGTTGTATACATTGTTCGAAAGTTCAAAATTACGGGCCATGCAGCGGAGCGTGCCGTAAAACGTTTTACCGCACGCTTTTACGCTTTTTTTATACACGTTTTTTTAAATTTCTTTCGAACATGCTTGAAAGCGCTTTTAATCTATACGTTTTTCTCACTTTAATACAAAAAATCCAGAGATTAAGTTCTAATGTTCACCATCCGTAGCGCTTTTTTTTATTATTAGAAAAAGTTTGCTTCATTACATAAATAAGGTATACTGTTTTTTCGCAAATGTGTTGAAAAATGTTGTATGACATTCATTCGGAGATCATATTTACAAATTCGCGACTATGGTATGGTAACATTCGTCTACTCGTATGTAATAACCAACTTATGACACTAATATCATAAATAACTACCTATTTAATTATATGATAGAATCACACAAATTATAAGTATTCAAAAGAAGTTGTGTTATGTCAATCTGTCTTCTCATCGTCATCTTATGCTTATAATGTTCCCAATGCTGGGGCACAGGCCTTCCCTATGGATGGAATAGGGAGATTGGGCATGACTAGGGCTGCCATCTCTAAAATGTAGCAACCGTAAGGCGTGATAACCCCAGATTTTGGAGCCCAGAACCCGGACAGACCAATAAAAAAAACAGTTAAAAATGTCACAAATCAACTTTTTTTATGTGTAGGCAAAAGAGCTAGCGATCTACCTCATAATAAGTGGTCACTGCTGCCCATGTAAAAAGTTTCAGTGCTGTCATCCACATAGCAACGAATGCTGTTATTGCGGACAGTGTGGGCGACAAAGCTGATCTTTGTTGGAACTCAGCATTTATAGTTACAATGTTAGAATAGATTTATTTATTTTCAAAGACATTTAAATTGACGGATTAATTGGCGACCCAAAACAGGAAATTTTTAAACCTGGACTACAAATGAAACCCCCCGCCCGGACGCTCCCCGGACGCCCCGTAAACTAGGACAAATCCGGGGAAACCCGGACGGATGGCAGCCCTAGGCATGACCCAATCTGCCAGGTCATTTTTAAAAAGTCCGGATGGTGGATGGGTGTTCCGTCTTCTATTGTTTTCAAATCGAATATTTCCATTTGTATTTCGATAAATATTACGAAGATTTTTTCAATATGGACGCATTGTATTTTTTTAATTATTTATTCCTTTGTTTATTTATTTATTTACAGCCGAACTTGAAACTAACTTAACAGGATCATTTTTCTAATAGAATATCGAAGACAATCTACTGATATGATTTTATGTAAATTCTATTAATTATGATCACAGCTTTAAGTAAACTCCATTGCGTATGATGTAACTTGGTTGCGGATGATCGTGATCTTTGGCCGACATAGTAATTATCCGATCCTGGTCTAATGAAATAAAAAAATGAGCTTTACAGCTCCCGCCCCTCGTGCAGCGCCAGTAATCTTTCTTTCTATTGCAATTTTTTCCCGTGTTGCAGTAGTAAGTGTAACCGTTTACCAAAGCGAGCGTTTTGCCCGCGGTGTTGCGAATCCATTGCACTTCTGAAATAGTCGATTTCATCATAAGTATAAAATTACATCTCCAATACCACATTCGACATTGATACCTTTAAAACGGTAATTGGAAATTATTTCATAATATTTGAATACATCCAATTGCATAGGAATGGAGTTTTACTTGAAAATTGTTCAAAACTTACCAGTGTACCAAGCTAGAATAAAACATATTTCGCTATTGAAACCATGACGTACGTACCTAACGTAAGGAGTTAGGTGGTTTATGATCGTGTGCATGGTTCAACATATTAATGAAGTTGTCCGCTGATATGATAAAAGTGACTAAAAAGTCTTCTTTCTGTGCAACACCAGAAAACTTTTTAGTTATTGGAAATTTTTTATTTGCATTAGCAAGGTGTGAACATTGATTGATTAATAGGCTTCTGGATATATGGAAGAAAAGCCTGTAAGCTTTTGAAGCTTTTCTTCCATCAGATAGAGAAGTTATCAGTTGTAATAGGTACAGCACGCTAGCAGTATTTGTGGACTAATACGACCCGCAAAAACATTGAAAAACAGCGTATTTCTTTCTTAAAGGCTGGCAACGCATTCGTGACAATTCTGGTATTGCAGATATGTATGGGCGACGGTGATGATCGCTTACTATCAGGTAAGCCGACCAAGAGCCGACTGCTCTTGTGCTAGTATTAAATATAAATAAATAATAAATATAGATATTTCCAACACTCATACCAATCAGCCTAGCCCCAAAGTAAGCATACTAGTGTACATAGTCTGTACATTTATAAGTATATTTTTATAGAAATACATATTAAGCATCCATGACTGGAGTACAAATGCTCGTATTCATCACACAAACATCTGCCCCTGCCGGGATTTGAACCCGGGACCTCTCGAGTCGGCGACACCATGAAACCCGGCGTACAAACCACTCGCCAAGGAGGTCGTCAATATATGTATATTGGTGGTGTAGTGAGCTTGCATTAAGCAAGACGACAGAATCAAGCTCAGACTGGTTCGGGCTACACAAAGCACAATGAGTCGAGTCCAGTCTTTTTTCAAAAACTGCGACATAAATTCAGTCAACATTTTTGAGGGTTGGTCAATTGAATAAGATATACAACAAATTTCAGAAGTTCTTTATGTACCTAAATTCCCGGTATTACATATATATACTTAACAATAATATAATTAACAAATATACTATTATCTAATACTAGCTTAAAACAAAAAAAAAACAAATAATATACTATAACAATGAACCTTAAACTAAAAACCTTAAAAAATAAAATATAGTAACTAAAATACAGTATTAAAAGGAGTCCCTTTAGGCAAGGTTCCGAAGATACTGGCAGCGTTCCCCCTTTGGATAGCTAGACTAATTCTTTGTCAGAGGTAGCTGCCAGTTCTTCGGTCTTCTGTGACGTCGACTAATCTTTTGCTATTTCTTTAAAAAGCCTTATAGCGCCAGGACCCCACAGACCAAGGGTCTCGACACCGAATGGGACAAAATCATATTCGGAACCTAGACCCCTGTATTTGCATGCCTTAGCTTTTCAGCCGCTTCACAAGCCGCACCAGCTCTGTTGTTGGTTCCATGTAGATGGGAAGGGGCCAGCGTGTCTGAACAGGGTGCATCCCATACTAGCACCCGGGTCGGGATCTTCCATGAAATCAAACTCATACCGTCCGATCTCTTTCCATCGTCTCTTGCAATACCAGTTGGTTCAAGTAGACTCGGCACGTTGACGGTGGCAAGGGACCGGCGTATGATATCGTTAAGTGCGGCGTGTCTCGAGAAGCGGTCTGCACTTTTTTGGCTAGACAGTCCGTGATGTCTTAGCTTGTCGACATCAGTGCCACAGGGACATTTATGAGGAGCGCAGACCGGGACCCAAAGCCGTAGACAGGTTGCCATTCCGAGTGTGTCAGGCTCAAGAAATGTTCCTGTATTTGTCGAAGGGTACGCGTGAAGCCAGTAGCCGGCCTCATGCGCACTCACGGCCAAAAGCCTAGCACGCGCCGAACCTGTACTACAGCCCAATAGGTTATTTTAAGTTAATTTGCAATTTATGTCGTCCCAGCTCCTCTGTGAATTTGGAGTAACTGGAAATTTTTGACCTGGGCATGTAATTAAGAAAGCGTTTCTAGCTTCTTCCAAGCCAGAAATCTCAAAGTTTGAAGGGGATGCCCTTAAAATTTTACTTATGAGAAAAGATATGTAATAAGATAGAAGATAAGATATTTAAAATATCGTACTTAATTTTTCTTAAACTTTATTTAACTTTTTTTTTAATTTTGTTTCTAACACAACTGTATTTGCCTTTACATTTACTTTCACATTAAAAACTAAATTAACAGGAATATAATTTTAATGCAATATCGAAGGCAAACTATTGCAATGACCTTAACGTGTATTTAATTAAGTTATTACAACCGAAAGTAAACGCCATTGCTTATGGTGTAATTCTGTGGCGCATGACTGTGATCATTGGTCGACATTGTTATTACCTCTCCACCAGGACCCTGAGTAATAAAGAAATGGGCCTTACATTTCCCGCCTCTCGTGCAACGCCAGAAAACCTTTTTGCTCTTGCTACCATTTCTCATGTGGCAGTAGTAAGTGTAACCGTTTACCAAAGCGAGCATTTTGCCAGCGGAGTTGCGAATAAATTGCACTTCTGAAATAGTATAGTAATAATTTCATTATAAATAGGTATAACATAACAGGTATATCTCCAAGGCGATATTTGATACTGATATACTTAAGACGATCATTGTAAATTTGATCAGTAAAAAGCGTACTCCTTCCTTAAAGGCCAGCAACGTATTTGTGATACTTCTGGTGTTCCCAATATATACCAATATATATATCGGTGACATGATAGAATCAAGCTCAGATTTTACAAATCAGATGGAGTCAAAGCCAGCTTATTTTCCATTTTGTTTTTACAAATGCAAATATTGTCATAATGTTAATTATTTTCATTGGGGTTTGTTAATAGAATGAAAGAGAATGTAGCTTTTTGTTAAAATTTATTTTACATGACCTATATGTTACATTATTTTAACTATACCTGATATGAAATTATATATCACATAATTCTAATGTTAGATTGATTCAGTAACTAACTCGGCGCTTGTTCGCTTAAAGTTGACTTTCGATATATTGCTATCGTCATCATCAGCCATCTGGCTCTAACTTATGGCGCGATTACACTTGGTCGTTAGCCGATGGAATTCAGGTAAAGGACTAATGGCTCAATTGCACTTGGCCATTAGCCTATTTCGGGTGCACGAAAGACAATACTCGAATGCAGGAAAGAAATTTAATGAAACACGACCAGATTTTACTTTCGCGATGCATCGGATGTTGTTGATCGAATGTGGAAGTCACTCACACCAGCATCGAACTGGCTGGTAATAATATTTCAGTTAGCACATCGGTTAAAAACTTGGGGTTGACGTTCGACACTTATTTGTGTTGGGGCCCACAAATGCAAGTGGTCAGTCGCTACGTAATTTCCTGCCCGTCACCACCAAAGTTGTCTTAGCACAGTCATTATTGCTTCCTATTCTTGATTACGCCGACGTCTGTTATCTTGATCTTACAGAGGACCAGCTTTATAAGCTTGAGCGACTTCAAAACTTTTGTATTCGCTTCATATTTGGTTTGCGCAAATATGATCACGTTTCTCAATTTCGTTCGCAGCTCAAGTGGATACCTATTCGCCTTCGCCAGAATACTCATATTCTTACTCTTCTCTACAACATATTGTTCAATCCTAAGTCCCTGCGCTATCTTATGGAATGTTTTAATTTCCTTCACACTTCTAACATGTTATCTCTTAGGTCATCAGAAAATCTTACCCTCATGACTCCTGTACACAGTACAACTTTTTACAGTCACTCATTTGCAGTTCGAGCAGTTCAGCTGTGGAATTCTCTCCCAGTTTCGATACGACATGCGGAATCGATCCACATTTTTAAGAATCTCGTGAAGTCCCATTATTTGTCTTTGTCAAATTGTTGTATTACAACAGCGCCATCGACCTAACATCGATTTTCTTTTATCTGTGAATCTTAATTGACAAAAACCTTTCTGGCTGAAGGCCATAGAAGACAGGGCCGGTAAAACCAATAAAAAAGAATCGCGAAATAAGTTACGAAGCGTATCTTTCAATATTGACGAGTATTTTATTTAATGTTATATACGTTATATACGGTGAAGAACACCGTCCCTTACAAAGAAATTAGGCGTTTTGTGATTGTGGTTGAGCGATAAGCGAACCAACTCTCCAGTCTTGGTGGTGATAATGCGAGCTTTGCAACTGGTGCCCGATGTGCACCACCAGTAGTCAGTGTTCACCTGCTGCCGGAGGCAATAGAAAGTGTATCCCGCTGCGATTATTAACTTCTGGCCACGACGATTCTTCACGAACTTAACTGAAACAGGAGAAAAACATCAGTACCATTCCAACACAATATGATGCTCACCATATGAAGCATACCATACCTTTACTCCACTTGAGAGCGAGTTTCGTACAGTAAGGCAGTTTTGATGAGCACTGGCAGTCTGTCGAGCACGCAGAGAATTTCTATTGGTTGCGACAGACCGCCAGTGTCCACTCACACAGGCGCAATGCGTGAAGCTTTGCCTTAAGCCTTATATAAATAATGACACCAATAAAATTCCTTTTATGAATTTAAGTTCCGATAGACGTTTTTTTCGTAAAACATAAAAAAAAACATGCGCTGTCACTTTCACACATACATCTTGTATATTTCACTCCTACTTTCCTATAAAATTGTGTTCAGATGTTACATATAAAATGAAGGTTCGGATATGCGGTAGAAAACAACGACCCATAAAAAAAAATCCTTCTATGGTGCCATGTTCAACTGTGAAAAATAGTTAATAAAACTGTGTGATTTAAAGATGCGACAACGAGGGATTTAGTTGTTCGGTTCTCGAGGTCTAAGCCGAGTTTTGCATTTGTGTGAATGCACATACTGTATATAGGCGTGATGTCGCGCACCTTCTACACTTCACCTTTTGTACTAGTAGCAGCATGACGTGTTTAATTCTTAATATTTTGATTTAGTGTTGGATTGAAATGAATAAACGAAAATACGAAAACATGTAAATAGCCATTTTTTTTACTTTATTTAAATAGTTATGTTGAAGACATGAACGATTAAGACATGTCAATCCTCACTACATCAACCCCATAATAATTGGTAGTTTCATGACGGGAATTGCGAAATCGTATTTGAGATATTGTCCTCTGACTTTTCTATCAGATTTACATACATACTTATCACAGCTGGCCTTTATTTTAACAACAGCTGGCCTCTATGTACTGTTCTACTTATTATTAAAAATAAAATGATGTCTTCTTTCAGTAAAATATCCAATCTTTAACATTTTAATATACTTTCCCTCCGTGTGACAAACCCGTGGACGCTCTGTATATTATGCTTACGCAGTATAATATGCTAGAGTTCACCAAAGACTACGTCACACGAGTACGGGGGCTGTTTTTTATCCTTTTGTTTTTTTTCTTGTTTCCATAATTAGACCAAAGTTATGGTACAACTAGTTATTCCAGATAAACGGTTAACTGTGCGCTTTAAATAATTTCTGTTTAACATAGTCTTCATCCGGTCACTCTCAAAGCCATGAATTATTTTACGTATGACTTTAAGTATGATTATAATAGGCGATGCTCTAACTTTATCTGCGAAAACATAGAATAAGACAACATGCCATTTTACAAAGTAATCAAAATTCAACAACATATTAATCTTACTAGTAAACCAACGTAAACATGTTTGCATTGTAAAAAAAACGAAGCAAAAAATCTCCCATCCGAAGAACAAATTCATAATATAAAAAAACTGCAACAAAAAGAAGTCGGACGTCACCCCAATATAAACGCCGGCACCTTTTGCTACCATCTGCCGCTTAATTTTACCTGCGTCTTTTAAAATACACACAGAAATTTCAAATGCATTTTACACAGATACATTTAAGGTTGAAATTTGAATGTATAGTCAACTAGTAACATCGTCAACGACCACAAACTTGCAATTCAGTAAAAGGGGGCTTTTGTTCGGTATAAAGCAGGTGAAGACTCCTTACTTTATAATAATAAGTTTTAGGTTTTATACTACTACTTAAAGGATAAAAAGTTACCTAAAATATTTAACACAAATTTAAAAGTATTTGTTACAGGTAATATGGATACCTACCTATTTATGTGCCCTGTGTACCCGCACGAAAGTTACGAACAAAGGTATACAAAGTACAATTAAACAGTTTACACAAAATAAAACACTTATTTAAAACACACATAATAAGAAAAAAAGATAGATAAGGCCACACATAAAAACTCACCAAACTGGAACTCTGCAGATAAACACTATTTCAGTACACCATACTGTTAAACACAACACAAATGTGGGTAGTTGAACACCCAATACTTCTAACTAAACCTATAATTTTCTGACAATAAACATTGCTAAATACACGAAGAGTGAAAGAAATACACAAAGTCCACTTAAAAATACAGTAACACTACTACACAGAAACGTCAAATTAATTTAAAGCTTCATTAAGTCCCATGTTTTTTGTGACGTCACAGAAATGTCTCATTCTATTGTTATCGCATAGAAAGTGGCAGCAACCACTTAAGTCAAATTCAAAAGTTACCTGACTTTTCTAAGTTTAGCCGTAAGTAATCAATAATATAATAAGATAACGTTTTTGCGACGCGGACTAATATAACGAGCAGTTAGAATTCCGCTTAGAGCGGAACAAGATGGCGGCCGAAATAAGACTGCGCTGCGCTGGGGCAGGCAGACAATACGCGCGCGCCACAAACGACGAGCGTCGTATGGCAAGCGCTTCGCTACGTTCGCTTGAATGACGGTTATTTAGGTTTTCATACCAAGAGGATGCGAACGGTACCATATTTCAAAGTCTACATTTTGCATCCATCTGTATTATATCTCGATAAGCAACATAGATGGGCAATAGAAATGTTCACAGAAATGATTATATAAACATTTATATTACTACTGTATTGCATAGAATTTAAATACAAGACATGTTATTTTTTAGCCCTTTTTTCGTTTTTTTTTAATCTTTAACAAACGCAAGTCCGAAATCATCAGCGTATTAAAAATTGACCTGTTCTATATAAATGGATTAGTCCCAGTGTGTCACAAGTGCAGTAAGAATTTATTTCTATATCTATAAAACGTGTGATGATTATTCTGGTTACGTTTGTAATCGAACCCCTACAAATGAGTACTTTTAAACTACATATTATGATTTAAATATAATTCTGTGAATTTCAATAATAAATTCTAGACAAATCAACAATTATTAAGTTTAAACTAACGTTACCAATAATAGAAATACAATAAATTATATAAAAATTACTTACATGAATATTATGACAAAATGAATGAATGAATTCGTATCGTTTGCGAGTCCGAAATGTCTTGTCAAATTTGTACTGATTTTAAGTTCTAGTTACGTACTTTGTGGCGCTACAGTTCAAGTTTCCATACAAAATTCGACAATGACATTTCGGACTCGCATTTGATTCGATATTGGTTCGTGCTAGGGGTACTGATTTGGCTATAAACAATTGACTAACATCAAGTGATGTTTTGAACACGGCAAAGCTTAAATTTCATTTAATAATGTTGGTGTAAATAATAGTCCTTAAGCATGTATCTTACCTCATTTCTTTAGAATTCATTTGCGAACTTCAAAAACGGTGGTAGACTGAATATCATAATATAAACATATCATAATATAAACATACCAATGACCTTCTAATAGAAGTTGATTGAAACGTGGCTCCCTACGTTCGAGTTCCATATCAGTTTGAGTGATGCGTCCGGTCAAACAAAATCAAATAACATTTAAAGAACGTGTTTTATACCAAAAATATTTTAATACATAAGTTAAATACATTCAGTAAAGTAGCACTTTACATAGCTGTATAACGCCCGGAAAGTCAGCACTCGTGTATTTTACATCTTCAGTCTTTCTTTTAATTACATTAAAAAATATCTATAAAATTCAGTATAAGTTCAAATTTCACTATTTCTCGGTTTGACAATTCACATAGATTTTGTATGAAATAACAAAAACAGTATAGCTGAATTTACATTACGAAATTTGTGGCTTGAAATTAGTTGCGCGATATTAATTTTATCGACAATTTGACGTGACGTCTTGACGTTTACACGTGAAATTAATATCCAAATAATATCACGTAACTACTTTCATGTTACTTATTTAGAATAGAATAGAATATAATATAGTTTTATTAAACCTCATATTACAGATATTACACATTACAGATACAAATAAAAAAAACCTCAGGGCTAACCAGGACCCTGCCTCAGCATTAGTTGATCCGACATTGTGTCGCACCAGCGCTGTTATTCTGGCAGGGCCTGTTTAGTGACACAAAAAAAGGACATGTAAAAACAATTTAGGATGTATGGACTCAACATCCTTCGAAATGTTAATTCGGTTTAAGTCGAAGAAAATTATTTTTAAATTGAATAGTTTCTTCACTCAATACGTATTAAAAATTTCGTTTGGCCCAACTGAGGAAAACACTGTGAAAATGGCAAATTTCAAAAGTTACTATTATTTATTACTAGCTGTGTCCCGCGGTGTTACCTGCGGTTTATTAGGGATATTTTCCCGCAGTAAAACAAAGCCTATGTGTTAATCCAGGGTGTCAGCTAACTCCATACCAAATTTTATTAAAATCGCTCCAGCCGTTTAGACGTTAAGAATTAACAAACATACACAGTCACAAACTTTCGCCTTTATAATATTAAGTGTAATGTAACATAACCAACCAACCAACAACATAGTTCCACTTGGTTACATTTTATTGAATCCTGTAGTATGTTCCATCATTAATGAAATAATTGCTCGCCTTATGATTCTGCTCATAAAAGCCACGTAATATGAGCTTATTACTTTTATCGGTGATCAGGGGGCCAATCGCCTAACTGGATTGCTTTGGAAAACGCTATCGCTTACGATTTCATTTTGTTATTTCTAGCCGCCTGAGGTTTTCAAATGCCTCGCGCTCTTTTTTTTTCTTTTGCATTGGTAATAACAATGTTAAAGAAAATAAGCGTGAGGTATTTGAAAACCTTCGGCGGTTAGAAATAACAAAATGAAATCGTAAGCGATAGCGTTTTCCAAAGCAATCTGGTTAGGCGATTGCCCCACAGACTAGCTTTACACGTTGTGTTTCTAGTCCAGGTCCAGATATTCGTTTCAATAAGTTGATGTTTGCAGTAGAAAGTGTAGGCATTGATGATGAGGAGGTCTTTACCCCATAGCTGCGAGCCCATTTAACTGAAAGTTAAAGAACAACTTTCTACCAAAAATAAAAACAGACTGCATAAATACAAAACCACTAAATATTAAGAAATATTTTTTTTTACTTCGGTGATTATTTGAGAATCTGCTTCTGTTTGAAGTCGGTTAAGAAAGAAAAAAGATTAAGACAATCTGCCATAGTTTGACAAACTGAAATCTAAGGCTTATTTAAAATTAGTAACACGACAGCACTGTGACAATGACAAACTTTCTGATACAGCATCAAAAAATATAATTATTTATTAAACAGCATTAAGCAACAGCAACATAGTTCCGCTCGCTTGCTTACGATTTATCAAATCTTGTAGTATGTTCCATTTCTAATAAAATAATTGCTAGCCTTATGATTGTGCTCATAAAAGCCACGTATGATACTCTTCTCTTTATCGGTGATCAGACGAGCTTTGCACGTCGCGTTCCTAGTGCAATTCCAGTGGATCGTACGGGTAAGCCGACGTTGGCAGTAAAAAGTGTAGTCGTTGATGATGAGGAGATCTTTACCCACATAGCTGCGAGCCCATTTTACTGAAAATAAAAAACAAGATTGAGATAATCAACCAAAGTTTAACACACGGAAATCTAAGACTTAATTAAAATTAGTAACTGGACAACACTCTGAGAATGTCAGACTTTGCGCTACAGAATTAATAAGAAACGTTTGCAGTAAAAAGTGTTGTCATTGATGATAGAGAAATTATTAGCCGTTAAAATCAAAATTAAGATCGTGACGATTGACCATAGTTGTACAAATTGAAATCCAAGACTTAATTGTAATTAGTAACGATAACAGTGTGAGAATGACAAACTTTTCACTGCAGCATGAAAATGTACTAAAATATATAAGACAACACAAACCAACAGCAATATAAACTTTGGTGCAACAGTATCGATCACTTTACTTTTTTTTATCAACTTCAATGAATATTACTAAAAAGAGATTTTGTTACTATGTCCTTGTATTGGCATGTTATTTGAAGCATTCTGACATGATTCGTTACGAAATTTTAAAATGAATCAAAGAAATATAATGATTATTATTATTGTAAAATTGCTTTACTAATGGCGCGAATTGCTAAAACGATTTTTTACTGATTACTAAAATTTTAAAACTCTTTGGATATTTTCTGCTAATAAAACAACTCAATCTTACTTTTTATATTAAATATAACTTTATGATATGACTGATAAAGCGATAAGGGCCGGTAAAATTATAGTCCTAATCGAAGAAGATTGTTTGCAAACTTACGTGTCTCAGAGGATAAATATGAGTCGTTCAACTGTCGAGAAAACTTTGCTTTGGGGAGAAAACGATGAGCAGAATCAAGATGTGACCGTTTTTGGTGAGTCAGCCATTGCGGAATCGTAAGGCATCGAGTTTATAATTAGTAACAGGACATTACTGTGAGAATGATCAACTTTCCGCTACAGTATCAAAAAGGATTATTATTTAGTAAGCAAAATAAATAACAATTTACATATTTCCATTGGGTTCCGATCATTCAAATCTTGTAGTATGTTCCATTTCTAATAAAATAATTGCTCGCCTTATGATTGTGCTCATAAACGCCACGTAGGATAGTCTTGAATTTATCGGTGGTCAGGCGAGCTTTGCACGTTGAGTTTCTAGTGCAAGTCCAGTTGTTCGTATTGCTAAACCGACGTTGGCAGTAGAAAGTGTAGTCGTTGACGATCAGAAGATCTTTGCCCATACAGCTGCGAGCCCATTTAACTGAAAATCGAAACCAAGACTGAGAACATTTGTCACAGATTTACAAAAGAAAATCTAGGGATTAATAGGCTGAAATACTGCTCAGGGTAAATAAGAACTAGTTAAATATAAATGGGATAGGGGTGTATCAAATGTTAATTAATCGACTCTGTCTACTCATACTCTTTTTATTAAAAAAATAAATAAAATAAAACATTTACATTTTCATAATGTTTATATAAAACAATGTAATTAGTATGAATCGATAGATCTATGAAAAACTATCCTTTTTTATTATGACACCGTAAAAAAATATTTTGGTAGTCAAAAGATATGACACATATGACAGACACATGGTCATATTTAAGTAGCTAAATATATTTATTTTATAGTACCTTCATTTTATCTTATTAGCAACCATAATAATAATACTATGCTATATAGTACTATGCAACCAGATATACGACAAAGCCTGCCGACCATCCTGTGCTTGCACTTACTGAGACACCTCAAAACGGTATACGGGGGTTGAAGGACTTGCAGTTGCAAATAGTCGACTCTTCTTACTTCGTTCTTGATTGTGCGCTTCCTGACACTTGATTGATTTTTATCTAACACGCTTTGGACATGGGAACACGATTATCAGGTTTGTCAATTAGTATGGATGAACTGGAATTATGTTTTCTCCGAAGCGTGGACAAGTTTGTGTGATTTGTGGTCGCTCCGTTTTACTTAGGACACAATTTACTATACCGTACAGAATGTGCATTCGAGATGTGGTGTTACCGTCGCATGTTACGCATTAGTTGGACGCAGAGGGTCAGGAACGAAACCGTGCTTCAGCGCGTTCATATGTCCCGGAAAATGTTGCCTTCTATCAAAAAGCGCAAGATAGAATATCTTGGCCACGTGCTCAGGAACAACAGATACATGCTGCTCCAGTTGATAATCATGGGCAAAGTGGACGGAAAGAGACGTGCTGGGCGAAGAAAAAGTCATGGCTCCGGAATATCCGGGAGTGGACCGGTATTGCCTCCGTCGAACAGCTGTTCCGGCTGGCTGCTGACAGAACTACATACAGAAAGCTAACGGCCAACCTTCAGGATTGAAGAGGCACTGGAAGAAGAAGAAGACAGAATGTTTGGAAAAACCCCAACCTATTCGGGGATTTTTGGATTTACTCTAGCGCGGCAGAATAACATAACAGGACACCCTTGCACTTTGTGAAGTACTCCTATAATACCTGAGCCCCCTATGTAGGGTCTAACTAACTAACTTAATTAATTCCCTTGTTTCATTAATGTTCGTTCGTTACAGCACTTGTACCTATTTAACTTAAAATAACTAAAGACCCCCGGGATGGAATTTGATGCGCTTTGGCACAGATGATCATAACTATAATACCTTTCGACCAAATGTAGTTTAAGTCGTGGCGGACATGGGTACAGCGTCCATACATTTTTGCCCAATGTCCTTTGCAGAGACCAACATCAAATTCAGATCAATAAACAAAGTTTTAATGAACGAAATCTAAGATCACTAATCAAAATTTATAGAGTACTCCTTTGTGTATGGTGATCCGCGGTTTTGGGTGGGAGTGCTGAAAACTGAAGCGTGTTAAGTTGCCTTCCTTAGTTGTGGTGAAGCGAGCAGTGCATGTACCAGTCATTGTACACTGCCACACGTTCACAGTCTTTCTTCTATTGTCCGGATAAAATGTGTACCCATCCACAACAGCGATATTTTTCCCCTTCCTATTCTTATAGTAGAATACTGAAAACAATGTGCTTTGTGGTATAGAAAAAAAACAATAATGTTAACTAAATAGTAACAAAAAATAATCACGGGGGGGGGGGGGACGTTTCCCATTAATCATACACACCACAATATATACATAAATATATACGCTGATAAACATAATATCCTGCGCGACACGTTGCGTGCGGCTTGCGTTGCGCATTCGGGTAAAATTGGGAAGAAATGGTGATAGTTCTTACCGAACTCCAAAATAAAATTTAAAGTCATTTTCAAGTTTTTTTTCATTATATATATAATTATTACACATAAATGTAACCATATGCCACATATCCCTTGAGGAATTGGCAAAACAGTCAAGACGCCAAGTCACATGATTAAGAAATTAATTGGCTATACAAAACAATAGGTAAATGACAACTCAGTGACGCCATACTCGGCATTATCGGTTGGTAGTACAAGATTGCTGACAGAATTTTAGCCAGAATAGACAAAACTTTTGTAAGTCTTCAAAGCAGGTAATAATTTTCAGTCGACTGATACACTATTTTATATTTAGATGGCACTTTTTGACTATTTTATGTTCAGATATAATGATGCGCATCAAATCGTAAGTATAGCATCCCAAGACTGACAATCTTTCATTTCTAGTAATCAATATTGCTGAGAGTTATAAGTGTAATAAAAATTAAACATTAGAATACTTCAATCGTAACGGATTAAATGGACTAAAACACACTTTTCATGTTTCAATCAGAAAAAAAAAATGCGTGATATTTGCCGAGACCCCCCCTCTCTCCAATGTAAGATTACATGAGATTTGACTCGACCCCCTCCCCCCCTTAAACATCTCACGTAATTTATGGACGCCCCCTTTTGATTCTAATAAATTATTTCGAAGTAGTGTTGACGCTCGCACTTGCACTTTTGTCCGCGTCCGTTTGGATGATATTAAGATGTCTTAGATATATTTCCAAGCGGCGGATTCAAAACTCGAGTTTTTTCTGCCCTCTGAACAAGTGGAAACAAACATTCGAACAATACTTCATAATTTCTACCAATAAGAATTACTATTAATTATATTACAAAAGTTTTAGGTTGGGCAAACGCTACTGTCAATTATTTCCAGTCAGGGATTAATTTTTAAACTTTTGCTCTACGGCGGCCATTAGACAATAGGTTTCTTCAGACCTGTCGTCTGATTATGCACGTAAGCGGGTGACTGATGGGGACTGATGGGATAATGACTGGTGATATATCTGATTGACGACTGATGGAATTAAATGACGGTTGCATGAGCGTCTAATGATCGCCTATTAGTTTTCTAGACAGCAGCTGGCACCATCTATGGCATGCCTCGCATGTTCAATATTGGCATATTGTGATCAAAGTTTGTAACAGATGCCATTGCTGATGAAGAACTGTGGAGGTGTGTGAGTGTGGTTAATGTGAGCGTCAACCAGCTCCCCATCAGTGGTCACGATGAGTCTGGCCTTGCAGTTTCCCCACCGAGTGCACCTCCAGATGTTCTTCTTGTTGCCTTTGACGCCGCAGTAGAATGTGTACCCGTGCATAATTGCCAGCAGTTTGCCAGATGGATTCTGCACGAAATTCACTGTGAGTAAAAGGAAAATACTATTAAGACAGAAAATCGATGTCTGTAAAAAAAACCAGTATACGAATACATCAATGATCTAAAAGATACATTGTTTACACTTACACCACTTAAACAATACAGAAAAGAAGATTTTGCAGCCATTAAGGTCGCGGTAGCATAATTGGTTGATGCATCCGCCCGGATAGCGGAGGGTGCGGATTCGAGTACCGTCTGCTGCCTGGAGAGCGGTTAATTTTTTCTAGTAAAGTTTTCTTTAGATTTAAACATCTAGCAGTTAAATTCTTAAAAAATACAAATATAATAAAATAAGATTTATTAAATTGAAAATATAAGTTAGCCTTTGTGTGTTTAACACAAGTTTTAAGATCATTTGTAGGTACACTTGACTGGCAAATATACATTTGATTTAATTATTGTTAAAAATCATACAATTTCTTCAATAAGCTTCCCTGTCGTCAATCTCTTAAAGATTTTAAAGCCCAAACCAGTAGTTTAAAATTATTTCACTCTTTGACGAATAGTCCTTAAGAGGGTTACGTTGACCGCAAGTTTTCCATAACCCACGAAACGTTAAATGAATTGAACTACCGTTTTGACAAAACTTTTTTTCGACTTCAACGCATTGCTCAACTGTACAGCGACGGGTAGGATAAATGCCGAATTTACAATAATTTATATATCAAAAATATTTCGCCAATAGATCATCTACTATGTCCACCAAAGGTTGCCAAAGATACGTTGTTCCTATTGGAAAACCCTGTACAAAGTTTTGCATTGATTGAGAACATTATTTATGTCGTGATCTCTGACAAGGTCTTGATTATTTGACGCGACATACTCGTTATTATGTATGTAGATTACTGAGATTGGTAAAATATTTTGGAATAAAAAAGTGCGAAGAATCAGTGTACGTACACTTTTTATCAGTAAACATTGATTAATGTTTACTAATGAACAGTGTATAGTGTATTTAAAAAATCTTAATAAAATACCCTTAATACAATAACGTTCGTTTAAAATTTTATATTAGATTAAATTGTGTAAAACGCTGTTGAAACTTGTTGATGATAAATAAATAAATAAAATAAATAAATAAATAAATAAAATAACGTATTGGACGAAATTGGACCGTTCAATAAATTGTTCATAATCTTATTTCAGACGCAAATACATGTAAAACGTTTTGTAATTGTTTCATACCGAATAAAATAAAATATAACCAAACCTACACGAAACAGCCATTTCAGTTAACCTTTAATTTGTATAAAATTTATCCTTGATTTCAATTTCTTACAACTGTGATGTTACCCTTTCAGAATAGTCAATGAAGTTTTAACAATGTTTAAGTGCATGCTCTGTTAATTTATATTTCTTAAAATATATATAATAGAGCAATACGTCTGTTAGACAAACATTAAGTTAAAATGGTCAATCAGCAATTATATACATTAAATTTTTATCACTTTAAGTGTTTCATTTCTGGCGTAGTATGTATAATCTGTACACATTATACTGTAGATTATTCGTAACAAAAGGAATACGCGACTCGCGGTGTCCGCTGGGCACATCTTCTACAAGCGCTAGAAGATAAAGAAGAAGGGCACTCGCACAAAGGTGTTTGGCGATAC